TTAATATTGTTACGAAAATGCTTTATTTCATTGGCACAATTATTATATTGCTATAGAATATGACAGCATAAATTATCCGCTTAATATCACTACATGACAACATCATAATGATGTCATGGGATGAATAAAATTTTAATTGTATACTGATACTGTTAAGTATGACGTTAGTGTGGCATCTTATAAAATTGTGACAAACAAATTGATTGTGAGACGTCTCAGAAAAGTACGCCAAACATGTCTTTGTATGTCATTCCTACGATTGCATCATCGATAATCTCTTTTTCTAATTCTGCTTCCACCACGGCCCTATCGTAGGAGGAACTATGCCTGAGTTCATTTTCCCATGCAAAAGCTGCAGAGTTAATTAATTATGACAAATATTAATTTTACATACGAAGATCGATAACAATAACAATGTATAATAGACTTTGTCGTGAGATTACTAATAATCTCCGATGTATCAAGACACGATAATTTGGCCCCGTCAAAAATCTTCGTATTAAATGATATCTATATCGAGGGTTTGTTATATCGAGTTTCATTGTATAATAGACTAGACAATTAATATAAACACGTCGTGTAAAGTTAATTGTGCCACATTTTAGGGGAGTTATCATGTGACTAGATAAACGTAAGCTAGCGGTACACTAGTCCTTCACCAAAAAAAAGTAAACCACTAGTGAACAGCTACACCTTCTAGCTGTATTACAGAAGTGAGTGGCATATCAAACAACTAGCATACAACATTACTTCTACCAGTGTGATAGACCAGTTTTTGTTATATGTGTGCTTAACTTTTGCCAATATGGAACTTTACTGTTATAAACATTGCCCCTTCCCTCCTCTCTTCCCTCCCCACTTACCATACAGTAGTTTACCGCAACAGGAACATTAGTTTGATTATAGTGATGGATTTGGCTTCGACAACCAGTTTTGTTGAGGAAAAAATCTTGTTGTAAAAAAAATTTTACGTTTGAGAAAGACATGACAGTTCCTGTGGACACGCAAGTATACTAATATGTTCTTTTTGAAAATTATCACCGTTTGCTAACGTGGCTGTTTAATATTATAGTGACTTTAGTTTGATAGTAGCTTTGGCTTCGGCAACCAGTCGTTGTTATCTTGTCCGCGAAAAAGTTTGTATTGAGAAGATGACGCGACGGCTCACCGAATGTAGCCAGTATTTATTTCCCCCCTTTTTTTTTCTCCCATTCTCATTTGTCCTTTTGGGTCATTGTTGCATAAATGCAGATTATTGTTACTTCCTACTTTCATTGTGTATACTGATAAGAAATTAATCTAATTTTAGCAACCTGCCCCTATAAACTTATCAGCGCGTTTGTTACTTTTGTTACCCACTTTCTCAATAGTATGACTTGCAGTCCTTCGCGGAACCCTTAAAATTATCAGCCTTGTTTCTCTATTACTATATAGACGCATTAATATAGCGTGATTATATAAAGACGTTTACAATCATAAGACTTGGTGACAAAACGATACGAAAATAAAGGAGAGAAATTGTTTATTATAACGCCCAATAGTCTATTGAAACACTAGCTGTGGCATCAAGCACAAATAGAGTCTCACCACGGT